TAACGGCTGTAGTGACGTCAGGCAGGGAGTGGAGAGCAGCAACAGCTTTGTCGAACGCTGATTATCCGAAAGGTTAGTTTTATAATGTATTTTATGGTTTAGGGGACGACCTAAAGAATAAATGCCCAATAGAGATATGAGTGGAAATAATCACAAAACAACTAGAAAAATATATATATATAAAAAAGGATTGGAGTAACAGCGCACACAGCATATAACATATCACACAGAAAAAATTATAAACACAACACATTTGTTTTCGCCCCCATTTTTCATGAGCTGAACTCAAAGATCTAAGACTTTTTCTATGTACACAAAAGGCCTATTTCTCTCAAATATTGTTCACAAATCTGTCTAAATCTGTGTTAGTGAGCACTTCTCCTTTGCTGAGATAATCCATCCACCTCACAGGTGTGGCATATCAAGATGCTGATTAGACAGCATGATTATTGCACAGGTGTGCCTTAGGCTGGCCACAATAAAAGGCCATTCTAAAATGTGCAGTTTTACTGTATTGGGGAATCGGGGGGGACGACCAGGAGTTCTGGAAACCAGTCAGCATCTGGTATGACCACCATTTGCCACACGTAGTGCAACACATCTCCAACAGGAAGTCTGGGCGGGGTTAGAAAGGGATGGTTTGCAAAGGCTGCAGACACAGAAATCTGCAGCTTTTATTAAGTGTTTATAAATAGATCTCCAATTAAAAAGAAATAAAAAATTAACCCCTTCAGTACCGGCCTGTTTTAGCCATGTTGTATGTTAAGGACCAGGGCTCTTAACACTTTTGTGGTGTTTGTGTTTAGCTGTAATTTTCCTCCCTCTCATTTACTGTTCCCATACAAGAAATATTTATTTTTTTCCCCAAGACAAAAAAGGCTTTCTTTACATACCATTAGTTGTATCAAGTCATATAATTTACTTTAAAAAGAATAAAATAAGGTGAAAAATTGAAAAAAAATACCAAAAAACATGTTTTTTTACTTTTGCTTGAAAAATCTTTTACTTACCTACGAAAGCTAATGAAAAAAACTGCTAAATAGATTCAAAATGTCCTGAGTTTAAAAACACCCAGTGTTTACATGCGTTTTTGCTTTTTTGGCAAGTTATAGGGCTATAAGTACAAATAGGAAATTGCGGTTTTAAAATATATATTTTTGAAATGTATTAATAGTGACATTGTAACACTATTATCTGTTATAAATCTCTGAATCACACCCCATATGTACATATTTTTTTAAATTAGACAATCCAGGGTATGTCCAGTCTTTTTTAATAGTCACAAACATGGGCCAAAGTTAGCATTCTTATTTGTTTGTGCGTGAAAAAAGTAAAAAACTAAATTGAATGCTAATTTTGGCCAGTGTTTGTGACTAAGTGGCTACTAAAAAAGACTGGATATACCCCATTTGCAATACCTTGGGTAGTCTTCTTTTGCAAATGGTATGCCATCATGGGGGTAATTCTCATTCCTGGGCTACCATACGCTCTCAAAGGCAACGTAACCAACCTGGCAATTTTCAATGTAAAAATATTTGACCCTGTAACTATCAAAAACGCTATAAAATCTGTACATGGGGGGGGTACTGTTATACTCGGGAGACTTTGCTGAACACAAATATTAGTGTTTCAAAACAGGAAAATGTATTACAACAATATCATCAGACAAAGTGCTGTTTGTGTGTAATGCAAAAAAGTCACTTTCACGGACAATATCATCGCTGTGATATATGTTTTACTCTTTTGAATCATTAATATTTGTGTACAGCGAAGTCTCCTGAGTAAAAAAGTACCCCCCCATGTACAGGTTTTAGGGTGTCATAGAAAGTTAAATGGTTAAATACAGTGCTAGCAAATTAAATTCTCTGGACTTTCTGCCTGGGTTGTCCGGCAGGTCCCTCAAATTTCAATCAATAAAAAATTACTTAATTATGTAAAAATATTACATAAATGTACACACAGAATTTAAATATATATGCATATTTATATATTTAAAGTCTACGTGTATTTTTTTTTTTTTTTTTAATAAATTCTTTATTTTTCTATGCATATGGAAAACAAACATTTGGTCTTGCAGTGCCACAACAGCTACTGCAGGCTTATCTTGAACATTAGATTGCTATGGCATCCGATTGACTAGCACAATTTTATGGTATATTATCATGAGAAGCGTAAGATTTGACGGTTCTATAACGCGCGGACTAGGAATTAGTGTGAGTGTTTGCAGATTTCGTGTAAGAACGATAGGCTGAAGCGAGCAACGACAGTTTAACTCGGTTAAAGTAAAATCTGGCTTAGGGTGGTGCTGCCCTGCATGTAGGAAAGGCGACATGCGACCATGAGTAGGTGAGCAGCCCTTACTGTTCGGACCTAGGATATGACTGCAATGGGCTTAGTGCGCTGCAAAATTGTTCCTCGGTTTGTTAATGGATTCTGACGTTAAGATTAAAAATAATAGAAATACCTATTCCGCACCCTACCCATACAATTACCTACAACATACATCAAAGAAGCACAGAAAATGATTAACACCTTCGTATGGGCTAAGAAACGACCCAGGGTTGCAGCAAATATACTTTACCTATCACAAAAATCGGGGGGTATGGGTCTCCCAAACTTAGACCTATATCACAAAGCGGCGATAGTCAGCTCACTAGTGGCAGTATTCCGCTCCCATTCCACACCCCCGGTGTGGGTACACTTAGAAGCGTCACACACAGAAGGACACGACATCGCAACATTAGCTGGAATCCATAAAACTCACAGAAAAAAGTTTCAGGATATTTCCCCGATAACATCTTTAACTCTGAAAGAATGGGACAAATACACAAAATTCTTAAATCTCGACACAGAGCTACACCCAACAATGCTCCTGCGCTCCTTTGAAATATTGATCCCACAACTAAACATTAGAAAATGGGACAATGCAGGCCTAACACACTTACACCAACTTATGGATAACGATAAGTATACAGCCTTTGCCTCATTACAAAAAGAGTACGAGCTCCCACTTACAGCGGAGTTCGCACATAGACAGATATTATCGTGGATAGGGAGACATAAAGGGTCACTATACACCACAGATACAAAGAGAAACATGGAGGTATTGAGACAACTATGCACCAACTCTAATAAAACAGCCGGCATCATTTCCAAAGTATATAGTAGTTATTTACCCACAAAACAGATAAAGGACCTGACTTTTATCAAAAAATGGGAATATGACATGGGGAAAAAATTACCAGAAGAAAACTGGCGTAAAAGTTTTACGGCCCACAAACACTTAACTTTATCCACAGCCCAGATAGAAATGTCGAGAAAAATGCTGTATAGATGGCATATGGTACCAACCAAGCTGAAACATATAGACCCGAAACAGACAGAAAAGTGCTGGAGATGTGGGGATGACAAGGGAGATGTCATACATATCTGGTGGACATGCCCTGTCATTGCAAAAATATGGAAGTCCCTACAGTCCCTTATGCGACAGATAGGGAATATAGACGTGGCATTTGCGCCTGAGATATTCCTTCTACAACATATACCACGGAACCTTTCGAAATCCCAACAATATCTCCTTTTTCACATGACTATAGCAGCAATCACAGCTATAGCCAAGGCGTGGCTTCAAAAAGATCCTCCACTAATAGACACGATTATCTCACATCTAGATAACACCAGACTTTATGAATGCACTGTACGTGCACATAGGGCGCCAAAAAACTTCTGGATAGATGCATGGCATATGTGGGACAAATACAGGCACCCCATAAAGTGTGGCATATAGATAAGGGAAGAAACAAAGCAACTGAGAGACATAGTGCCATTTCTGGAGAACTAGGTAGAATATGTACATGGGAAGCATTGAGAACTTATGTTCTCCCCCCTCCCTCCCTACCCCCCCTCTCACCACCCAGTTCTTCTTGCTTTTTTCTTGTTTCCCCCCCCTGTTAGTTTCTTAGTTTATTTATCAAATACAAAATAGGTACGAAAGGAAAAACTCTTGTACACAAGATGGTATACCTGTAATGTCACTATCCCGGACCAATAGGCAAGTTAAAGCCGCAGGTAGAGGGGGTAAAAGGAAAACGAGAACAATGAGCTCAAATACAGTGAGACCACTGACACTGCGAACCCTATACCTATCATTTGACTCTAAGGACAGGATACGAGTCTAGATACTCAATGGTATAGCTACTCTAATAGGCAGTGATGTAATGATGTGATCCAATCACCGGGTAAACGAGTATAAAAGTGCGGTGCTTGATTTGTTTGGCACCATGTGATAAGGGAAATTGTGAAAAATTTGGACAGCATGTAAACATTGAGATTGCATCAAGTTTTACGCATGTTGAATATAAGTGATACCATTGTGACAATTGATAATTGTACATTCCAACAATGCACATTTACTGTTTGTACCTCATAAAATACAATAAAAAAAAATAAAAAAAATAAAAATAAAAATAATAGAAATAAAAGATAAATAAATACATTAAAATAGATGCGCCCTAGTGCTTGCTAGTATAGTGTAGTGTACTGGTTGGTATGCAGCGCAGTGTGCAGGATATAAGTCTAATATTGAGCGTAGGTAGAGGTGTGTATGGGACACATTAAACGACTTAAACTTAGGTACATGAGAGCAGAGTTATAGCAGGAGTCCAACAGGTTAAGCAAGGTCTGTAGTGTCATCTGCATAGCTGTATTATACATGTCGTCCCATGAAAAGCATTATAAAAAAATAAATACAAAAAAATTACAAGTCTTGAAGAATTAAATGAAATAAAACCTTGTATACTGTGAGTCCTATAATCAGGCATGTAGTTGTCGGAAGGAGGGTGGCATGGTCAGAGAGTTCCAGCGTCAGCTTATGCCCTGGCTTGGGTAGGAATAATGGCCGTCCATGGGTTGTTCCATGCTGGAGCTGAGCGTGGCTGTCTGCAGGAGATGAAGCTCAGTCTCGGAGGCGCTGTGGTCTTGATCCAGGGTAGGGAGCGGTGTCATGTGCTGTGATCCAGGCGCTTGGATGAGCCGGTGTATGAGTCTCTTGTGGTGTTCAGGGTGGGCAGGTTACATGCCGTGCCTGTCGATCGGCTGTCTCTCTGTGTGTCTCTCCTCCTGTGAGCTCGGGCATCGTAGCCACTTTGAACCGGCAAGCGTTGGAGTAGTGTGTCGTAGGGATCCCGCCTGTCAGGCTGCCTCATGCAGGCATGTCGCGTCCTCCTTGCGCATGTAAGGGTCTCAGCCAGCAAGGGAGAAAAGATGGCGTTATTCCCCTTATGCGTTGGTGAGTTTGTGTTTGCCGCCATTTTAGTGGGGCCTTGTGGTATGAGTAGCGGGGTCTCTGGTGCGGTAAGAGTTGCAGGGTGCGGACCGGGATCACCCCCACCGGCCCAGGGGGCCCTGGTTGCACATCCATGGGAGTCCAGCATGACACCATCGGGCAGGATAGCGGGGCAGCGGCCGTCCACCCCACTCACCGCCCGAGTAGGCTTCATCCTGTAGGGACGGCTGGTATCGTCTCGAGGGACTAAAACAAAGGATTTGCAAGCCTCTCCTCTGAGCCACTGCTCCCTTGTGCTTCGCACCACGGTTGCAGGTCGTTAATTAGGCGTAAAATACGCTTTTGTAAGCTTAAAGTTTGGAGGTTTGCAGGAGCTGTTGGTATGTGCGACCGTTCAGTTTGGCGGTCAGGCCCCGCCCCCCATCTACGTGTATATTTATGAAATTATTTATGTTATTTTGTATATGGATATATATTTCATATTATTTTGATTTATTTATATATACATACATGTATATATAATTTAATTCTAAGTGTATTCTGATATAAATATCAAAGTTACAGTTAGAATAAAATTTCATATAGATATAATTTTGTTTTTAATTTTTTTTACTTTTTTTTAAATTTACTTATTTGTATTTTATAATTATAAATATATATATATACACACACACACACACACACACTATATACAGGAAAAATAGGAAAGCAGGATTTAGGCAATATGCCCTAAGTTACAATAAGGTAAACCTATAAAAGAAGTTATAGGAAATAGGAAAACACAATTTAGGCAATATGCCCCAGAACAGGATAAGAAAACAACTAAACAGAAATAATATAAATACTTAAATAGGGTTGTAGTTGTTCAGTCTCTTTGGGTAAGGATTATATAGTAGAAGTAGGTCCTTTGTGATGGCTGCAAAGTAGATTAGAATATAAGTAAATCCGAGGAAATAGTAAACAGTATATCCACAAATTAAATGAAAGTCCAGTGTTGATTTAAGTAAGTTGGATGTTCTGCAGGGAGATGGGAAGTCCAGGTAGGTTTGCTGCAGGGTTGTAGGTAAGGCAGGACGAAGAGTTGTACAGGTAAGTTTGGAGCAGGTTGGTGAGTACTGTAGGATAAGCAGGGAGATAGGAAGTCCAGGTAGGTTTGCTGCAGGGTTGTAGGTAAGGCAGGAAGAAGAGTTGTACAGGTAAGTTTGGAGCAGGTTGGTGAGTATGTAGGATAAGCAGGGAGATAGGAAGTCCAGGTAGGTTTGCTGCAGGGTTGTAGATAAGGCAGGAAGAAGAGTTGTACAGGTAAGTTTGGAGCAGGTTGGTGAGTACTGTAGGATAAGCAGGGAGATAGGAAGTCCAGGTAGGTTTGCTGCAGGGTTGTAGATAAGGCAGGAAGAAGAGTTGTACAGGTAAGTTTGGAGCAGGTTGGTGAGTACTGTAGGATAAGCAGGGAGATAGGAAGTCCAGGTAGGTTTGCTGCAGGGTTGTAGATAAGGCAGGAAGAAGAGTTGTACAGGTAAGTTTGGAGCAGGTTGGTGAGTATTGCGGGATAAGCAGGGAGATAGGAAGTCCAGGTAGGTTTGCTGCAGGGTTGTAGATAAGGCAGGAAGAAGAGTTGTACAGGTAAGTTTGGAGCAGGTTGGTGAGTATTGTAGGATAAGCAGGGAGATAGGAAGTCCAGGTAGGTTTGCTGCAGGGTTGTAGGTAAGGCAGGAAGAAGAGTTGTACAGGTAAGTTTGGAGCAGGTTGGTGAGTATTGCGGGATAAGCAGGGAGATAGGAAGTCCAGGTAGGTTTGCTGCAGGGTTGTAGATAAGGCAGGAAGAAGAGTTGTACAGGTAAGTTTGGAGCAGGTTGGTGAGTACTGTAGGATAAGCAGGGAGATAGGAAGTCCAGGTAGGTTTGCTGCAGGGTTGTAGATAAGGCAGGAAGAAGAGTTGTACAGGTAAGTTTGGAGCAGGTTGGTGAGTATTGCGGGATAAGCAGGGAGATAGGAAGTCCAGGTAGGTTTGCTGCAGGGTTGTAGGTAAGGCAGGAAGAAGAGTTGTACAGGTAAGTTTGGAGCAGGTTGGTGAGTACTGTAGGATAAGCAGGGAGATAGGAAGTCCAGGTAGGTTTGCTGCAGGGTTGTAGGTAAGGCAGGAAGAAGAGTTGTACAGGTAAGTTTGGAGCAGGTTGGTGAGTACTGTAGGATAAGCAGGGAGATAGGAAGTCCAGGTAGGTTTGCTGCAGGGTTGTAGGTAAGGCAGGAAGAAGAGTTGTACAGGTAAGTTTGGAGCAGGTTGGTGAGTATTGCGGGATAAGCAGGGAGATAGGAAGTCCAGGTAGGTTTGCTGCAGGGTTGTAGATAAGGCAGGAAGAAGAGTTGTACAGGTAAGTTTGGAGCAGGTTGGTGAGTACTGGGATAAGCAGGGAGATAGGAAGTCCAGGTAGGTTTGGTGCAGGGTTGTAGGTAAGGCAGGAAGAAGAGTTGTACAGGTAAGTTTGGAGCAGGTTGGTGAGTACTGTAGGATAAGCAGGGAGATAGGAAGTCCAGGTAGGTTTGCTGCAGGGTTGTAGGTAAGGCAGGAAGAAGAGTTGTACAGGTAAGTTTGGAGCAGGTTGGTGAGTACTGTAGGATAAGCAGGGAGATAGGAAGTCCAGGTAGGTTTGCTGCAGGGTTGTAGGTAAGGCAGGAAGAAGAGTTGTACAGGTAAGTTTGGAGCAGGTTGGTGAGTATTGTAGGATAAGCAGGGAGATAGGAAGTCCAGGTAGGTTTGCTGCAGGGTTGTAGGTAAGGCAGGAAGAAGAGTTGTACAGGTAAGTTTGGAGCAGGTTGGTGAGTATTGCGGGATAAGCAGGGAGATAGGAAGTCCAGGTAGGTTTGCTGCAGGGTTGTAGGTAAGGCAGGAAGAAGAGTTGTACAGGTAAGTTTGGAGCAGGTTGGTGAGTACTGTAGGATAAGCAGGGAGATAGGAAGTCCAGGTAGGTTTGCTGCAGGGTTGTAGGTAAGGCAGGAAGAAGAGTTGTACAGGTAAGTTTGGAGCAGGTTGGTGAGTACTGTAGGATAAGCAGGGAGATAGGAAGTCCAGGTAGGTTTGCTGCAGGGTTGTAGGTAAGGCAGGAAGAAGAGTTGTACAGGTAAGTTTGGAGCAGGTTGGTGAGTATTGCAGGATAAGCAGGGAGATAGGAAGTCCAGGTAGGTTTGCTGCAGGGTTGTAGGTAAGGCAGGACGAAGAGTTGTACAGGTAAGTTTGGAGCAGGTTGGTGAGTACTGTAGGATAAGCAGGGAGATAGGAAGTCCAGGTAGGTTTGCTGCAGGGTTGTAGGTAAGGCAGGAAGAAGAGTTGTACAGGTAAGTTTGGAGCAGGTTGGTGAGTACTGTAGGATAAGCAGGGAGATAGGAAGTCCAGGTAGGTTTGCTGCAGGGTTGTAGGTAAGGCAGGATGAAGAGTTGTACAGGTAAGTTTGGAGCAGGTTGGTGAGTATTGTAGGATAAGCAGGGAGATAGGAAGTCCAGGTAGGTTTGCTGCAGGGTTGTAGGTAAGGCAGGAAGAAGAGTTGTACAGGTAAGTTTGGAGCAGGTTGGTGAGTATTGCGGATAAGCAGGGAGATAGGAAGTCCAGGTAGGTTTGCTGCAGGGTTGTAGATAAGGCAGGAAGAAGAGTTGTACAGGTAAGTTTGGAGCAGGTTGGTGAGTACTGTAGGATAAGCAGGGAGATAGGAAGTCCAGGTAGGTTTGCTGCAGGGTTGTAGGTAAGGCAGGAAGAAGAGTTGTACAGGTAAGTTTGGAGCAGGTTGGTGAGTATTGCAGGATAAGTAGCCAATAAAGAAATTCCACAGATAAACTCAGGAGCCAGAATATCAAGTATTTTCAGGTAATCATCAAACTTCAATGTCAAGGCCACTTGCTTTGTCGGGTGTGGCCTTTTATAGCAGAACTTGATTTCATGTTCTACAGGTGAGAGTTGGAGGTGACTAGTGGCTAGGGAGGCCACTAGAGGCGAGAAACAGGTACTGGATGTGGTGTATTACCAAACTCTGTAAATTATTATGTACGCATACACATATAAACTCTGGTCCGTCTACTTTAACAAATATTTATTCAGAGACAAAACAACAACAACATACAAATAATGACACACAATCTAACTAACTATACCAACAACAACAGCAGCAACAACCTAACTAACAATAACAACTACACCTTATAAAATCCCACTCACAGTTCACCATGATAGAAACTAGGCCATGTCTGCTTAAGGGACTGCTCAGTAGCACAGCCAAGAAGGAACAGGGAGGAATGGAGATAGGTGGTTACCTCTTTCCTGAAAGGTATTGAATTACTCAATTACCATATCAAAAGGTAAAGCTTATCCCACTGTACATGAGCTTGGTCACGTGATCCCTGGTCACCATATTAGTTTGATGACAGAATGTCACCACACTGGAATTTAAAGGAACGGTATCAAACGGAAAAAGTCTTGCTAGTCAGGATAGAAACCTGGCACATAGTAAAACAACCTCTTTTTAGAAAGCGATTAAGGAGCTCTCAAGTTATGCATTCATCCTTGGCCAACATTGTCATTGCTTACTGAAGGTTCCATTGGGTTACAAAATGGAAAATCTAATTTTCATCACATTAATTAACGTCACTTTTATACACAATTCTGCAGCTGCTGACTGACATTACACATTGCTGCAAAATTTGTAAATGAGTGAAATCGGTGTGAGAGTGAAATCAACAGGTCCTGCAATTGAATTTCATTGAAATTAGTGGATTTTAAAAGCCACATAATCCCATGTTTGACAAAATGTGACAAAAGGCAGAATTTCTAACAGGTTCTACCTGTCGCCTCTCGCCAGCGAATCGATGAGTGATGTAATGTTATGTCCATATACAAGAAGTGACCTTATCATTTTCAAATGACCCAATGAAAGAACATTATTGCCAATGAACGGTGTGCCAGATATATAATTAAAACAATAGACAATCCCCTGCACTGATTCGGTAACTGGCAACACAGCGCACACAGGACGCAGCCAGGTGTCACAGAAAACCCTAGTACCTGCTACCATACCATGGTATAATAGACAGTATATTGGTTAATAGAGTACATCATATTATAATGTCTTACAGTATGAACAGCCATGTATCTATTAATAAAGATTATCCCCGGGCACATGCGGTGGGGGGGCAGCATTAACATATGTAATACTTGGTGTATCGCACAGA